TTTTTTTTTTTTTTTTTTTTTTTTTTAATTGAAGAATTGCTGATAAAACTCCAAAATCCGTGATTAGAATGGAAGGCATCTATCTAATCTATCTACCAGTTATATCAAGAAAGCATTGTGTTTACTTACATTTTCAAAGCAATTTGGAAGCCTACCAGTGCCTCAATCACTATAATAAAATTACATTCTAAATCCCTATAATTTTTTGGCTTTTGATTTTGGGTTTTTATTATGGAAAATTGGAGCTCCCACAGCCTCCCAGTCCTGCCAGAGGGAGCCTCCATTTGACCTGGAGGGATGTGGGCAGTGGGGTTCCCCAGGGCTCGGTCCTCGGGCCTGCACTGTTCAACATTTTCATCAGTGACTTGGAACCTGTTCAGCCTCCACAAGAGAAGGCTGAGGGGGGGATCTATGGCCACTTACAAACTAGTCAGGGGGGACCAACAAGCACTGGGGGAGTCCCTGTTCCCCCGAGCACTACCAGGAGTGACTAGGAATAACGGTCACAAGCTGGCAGGGGGTAAATTCAGATTAGACATCAGGAGGTGCTACTTCAGCGTCAGGGCGGCTAGGATCTGGAACCAACTTCCAAGAGAAGTGGTGCTGGCTCCTACCCTGGGGGTCTTTAAGAGGAGGCTAGATGAATACCTTGCTGGGGTCGTTTGACCCCAGTACTCTTTCCTGCCATGGCAGGGGGTCTGACTTGATGATCTACTCAGGTCCCTTCCGACCATAGAAACTATGAAAGGATGCACTGAATCTAATAAGGGGCACCTTGAGACTGAAAAAGCTGAGAACCACTGACCTCTGCTGTATGGCTAACTCGGGCCCTTACTTGAGTTTTAGCTTCATACCCCCCTGCCAGCCACTTTTAAGACCAGGCCAGATTACTCAACTGTCAGTGTAGCATAGAGCCAAGGCTCTGCTTTCACTGAAACTAGAACCCATTCACTTCGCTACGGAGAGAGACTAGATCACTCAAGTGCTAGTGCCAATATCCTCACAACTTATGGGAGATTTAAGCAAGAGGCCTAACCCACGTTATTTGCTGGCTGGTCTTCCCCACAAAGTTAATTTTAGTTGCAACTTGAATGCTACCCCTATTTGAGTTCTCTTCAGACATAAAATCCTTAATTCTTGATAGCTGATCTTTCATAGAGTACAGAAAAATAGAGAAGTTGTTCTTTTCCAAAGAACTCTGAAAGACCACAAGAGATCAGAACATTTGACACTATGGATTGCTACTGAAATCTCTGGTTTTATTTTGTGAATCCTGTATAGGTGTTGGTGCACCTAACAGTGCTGACATTGCGTAGCATCCTGAAGCACCTCTTAAAAGTATCTCATGACACCCTGGTTGAGAATCACTGGTGTATAGTACCAGATCCAAGAACAGGGCAAGGGGGTGTACTCCCCACTTGGGTGCTCATGAGTAGTGAGCTCCAAGATCACTAGCTGGTTGAGGCTTGTTCGGGCCAGGCAGATTCCATGCAACGCAGGCAAAGTGGGGTGTGGCTGCTGCTGCACCCCCTCTGGATCCACTCCTGTGGGTGGGGATGGGGGGTGGTGTGTGTATGTTGCATACTCCCTCTTCTGAAAGGGTTGTTATCTGGAATTTGTTTTCCAGCTTCAGCAAACATTACTGTTGCAGCACAAAATGTATTTGTCATACTGGTGGGGAAAAATACAAAGGCTTAATCTGTTGTTAAAGTTTCTCAAGGCTGTGCAGTTTGGTTTTGACCAGAAATTAAGGGCACCACTTTAAAATTGAATTATTAAACACTTAATGCTTCAAATATAGAGCTAGAAATACATGTTGTCATGAACATGTTCAAAGGGCCAGGGACTGAGACTCATATAACTGTGCAGTCTTGCATGGAGACAGAATCTAAAAGACATTGTTATTCTTATTGAAGGGAGTTAAAAGAAGCAGTGGGCTCAAGTTGTACCAGTCCTACAATGTTACCAGTCTAAATTCAGAGAATTGCCTCCCTTATGACTCACTGACAGTGAGTCACAACAGCAATTTATTAGCTCTACATGGTGCACTGACACAGTCAGATACCTTTTCTCCCTCCTTGACAGTGGAGAACTCACAGGGATTATACTTGGAGCCTGACTTTTCCTGTTGCCTTTTCCCCTTATCTCCTAAACGAAATGGTTAGAAGAAAGCCCACACTTTAGTTTTGCTAATATAGGTCTACAAGCAAAACCATCCTTGTCTGGATGAAGCTTAAACTGGTTGTTTTGCCAGTGTAGTTTGTATTGTTTCAAAAAGTTATGCAGTTACAAAGGCAAAGTACTTGTCTATAACTACAATAATAGGTTTTTGCTGGCATAGCGGTTTAGTATTTGGTGACATTTTGACTTGTAGTACTACATGGGCAAACATTTCTAAGGTAGACCTGTTTTGAGACTTCAGGGATATTGCAAGGTCTGACTTTATTCGCATTTCCAGCAGAGATGTAGGGGAACCAACTGGTGCATGTGCTCATGATTTTGTATTTTCCCCTTTCGCCTGAATGAAATGGGTCTTTATTCTCCAAGGGACCAGGATTCCTCTGGAGTTTATCAAATGTTCCTTTTGTTATGATGGATAAGATGACTTCTTCTGTCCTGTTTTCAGCATTTGCATTACCTTAAAATTAAAATGATGTCTGTTTAGATTGGGAAGCCAATGCCTTTGTTTAAAAAAACTGTGTTTGTCAAGTGGTGTTCACCAGAGACGGAGAAAATGACAGCAGCTAGGGAGTATAGTCACCATTGATGCTTCCTTTGCAGAGCTTGATCAGCAGGAGGCTTTGCACCCTTGTGCGTGTGTGGGGGGGGGGG